TCTCATTGTTGCTGTACAAGCACTACTAAAAAAAGTACTTTTTGCGACCGCTACAAGCCGTCGCAAATAATAAAAAAACAGTCGCAAAAGACTTTTTGCGACGGCCTATGCGACGGCAAATGAGGGTCGCGAATGTGGGGGTGGCAAATACTTTTTGCGACCGCAAAAGGAGACAAATAAAATCATTTCTCCAGACTAAAGGAGCTGATATGGCTTTTTTCCAAGAAACCAAAAAATCAGATGTTTCTACAATGTTTGTGAAGTCATTATGGCCTGAGGATGATATGGATTTCATAAATGTTGACTCTGATGGTGCGGCAAGAGGATTGTTGTGTATTTGGAAAACAAATGTATTTAGTTTATCTCATTGTTGCTGTACAAGGAACTGCATTATTCTCTCAGGTACTCTCTTACCCAATTTTGAGTGTGTTATTGTTAATATTTATGCTTCTAATGATGTATCCAAGAGGGGCAGGTTCTAGGAGGTGTTGTTGAAATTGAAAGATGATTTTGATAAGCCATGGTGTATAGCTGGTGATTTCAATAAAATTAGGCATATTGGGAAAAGAAGAGGGTGTTCTCGAAGAGATAAAGGAATGATGGAATTTAATTAGTTTATTGATAATATAGAGCTAACAGATCTGCCTATGATGGGACAAAAATTTACATGGTGCAATTCCAATGAGTGTGAAAGATAGAGTAGGCTTGATAGGGTGCTAATGTCTTCACAGTGGGTGGGGAGATTTAATTTAAAATTGTGGGGTTTGGAGAGAACTTTATCCAATCATTGCCCTTTGTTGCTTATGGAGGATGGAAGGGATTGGGGCCCTAGGCCTTTTAAGTTCATAAATGCTTGGTGCTTGCGCCCACAATTCCGAGATTTGGTTAAAAAAGCTCGGGAGGATTTAAATATCTCTGGTTGGGCAGAGTATTTGATAATGAAAAAACTCAAAAGTCTATGAGTAGAACTAAAAGAGTGGAATAATGAGGTATATTTGGTAATGTTTCTGTTGCTTTAAAGGTTGCTCAAGGGGGTCTTCATGCCATTGATTTAGTGGTCGAATCTAAAAGTCTTGATGAGAAAGAGATAAAGAGAAGAAGAGAAGTAAGAAAAGAGGTTTGGTTACTCAGTAGAAGGGAGGAATGGTTATGGTTGCAAAAGTCCAAATTGAATTGGAGTATGAAGGGTGACAAAAACACAAGATTCTTCCATGTGGTTACCACTAATTGACAAAATAAGAATTTGTTGAACTCAGTTGAAGTTAATGGGGAGGTTTATGATGATCCACAAAGGGTAAAGGTTGAGGTGCTTAAATATTTCTAAACAAGATTTACAGAAGATTGGAAATCTAGACCCAAATTGCTTGGTGATTTTAAGCATATTGGCACTGATCTGGAGGTTATTGGGTTGATAGCACCATTTTCAGAAGAAGAAATATGGAGAGCAGTGAGAGATAGTGATGGCAACAAAGCATCAGGGCTAGATGGTTTTAATATGTTGTGCTTTCAGCAATGTTGGGAAGTGTTTAAGGGTGATATCTTAACTTTTTTCAAGGAATTTCATACTAATGGATGCTTGGCTAAAGGAGTTAATAGTTCATTTATAACATTAATTCCTAAAAAGGAGAACCTGGGGGGAGTTGCAGATTACAGGCCTATTAGCCTCATTGGATCTCTATATAAGATTTTATCTAAAGTTCTTGCTAATAGATTTAAGAAAGTTGTACTGAGAATTGTAGGTGAAGCTCAATCTGCATTTATGGGAGGAGAGACTATTTTGGATGGGGTGTTGATATCTAATGAGATAATTGATTGGTCGAAGAAAAGGAAGAAGAAGGGGTTGATTCTTAAATTGGACTTTGAAAAGGTTTATGACACAGTTAATTGGGAGTGCCTTTTGGACTTTTTGTTAAAGTTTGGGTTCCAAGATAAGTGGATCAGGTGGATGAAAAAGTGCTTATCCTCAACAAGGGTTTCAATCCTTGTCAATGGATCTCCTACTGCTGAGTTTATTCCAGGAAAAAGGTCTTAGACAAGGGAACCCATTATCACCATTTCTCTTCCTCATTGTGGCTGAAGGTCTGAATATTCTATTCCAAAGGGCTAAATCACTGGGACTCGTAAAAGAAGCTATGATAGGTCATAGAGAAGTTAATGTCAGTCATCTTCAATTTGCAGATGGCACTGTTGTATTTTGTGAAGTAGATGGGTTTGAAATTCAAAATATTAAAAGGATCTTGAGGTGTTTTGAAGTGATATCTGGGTTGAAGATCAATTTTTATAAAAGTCATGTATGTGGGATAGGGGTTACTGATAATGTTGGTGAAAGTTTTGCAAAACAATTGAATTATAGGTGCATTAAGTTACCTCTTATGTATCTTGGGCTACCGCTTGGTGCAAGTCTAAGGAGGAAGAGTACTTGGATGCCAGTGATTAACTAATTCAAGGCAAAGTTAGCATCTTGGAAAAGAAAACTTTTATCATTTGTTGGTAGATTAACACTTGTTAAAGCTGTGCTGTCTTAATTACCTATTTATTGTCTTTCAGTTTTTAAAATGCCTGAGGGTGTAGCAAGAGTACTAGACAGGATTTAGGATAAATTCTTGTAGGGAGAATCAGAAGCAAAAAAGAAGCTGCATCTGGTCAACTTGGCAGAGGTTACGAAAAGCAAATGCAATGGGGGTCAGGGCATAAGGAACTTGAGGATGGCTAATGATTGTTTGCTAGCTAAATGGTGGTGGAGGTATGGGTGTGTTGACAGGGCATTGTGGAAATCAGTATTAGTTAGCAAGTATGGCAGCGCAGGTGGGGGATGGTTCCCATTTATGGAGGAGACAAGGTTGAAACTCTAGGGTGATATTCTGAATATTGCTGATAACAATATCCCTCTATTCAACTCTTATGTGGATAACTGTGTCATTGAAGTGGGGAATGGATCAAGAATTAGATTTTGGGAAGATTATTGGATTGGGACTACATGTGTGAAGGAGGAGCATCCTAGATTATTTCAACTGTCAACAGAGAAAACAACTTCTTTATATCATATGGTCCAAAGGAAAAGAATCACATCACGATGGGACTTGAAGTTCAGACGAAGATTGCGGGCTTGGGAGGAAGTGGAGGTTGAAAGACTTATTAATATGCTGAATACCATTAACCCAAATCTGTCTGATAAAGCTGACGCTTTGGTGTAGAAAGCTTCATCTTCTAGTATGTTTTAGGTTGCTGTTGCTTATAATATTGTTACATCTGGGCAGGTTATGGCTGCCTCTGGGTTCATTTGGAAGAACATTTCGCCCCAAAAAGTGAAATTTTTGTTGGCTTGTTTGGAATGGCAGTATTAAATCAAAAGCCTATCTCCAAAGCATTGGGATTTTGAATCACAGTAATTTGTTTGAATGTGTGTTTTGTTGGGAAGAAGTTAAAAATTTAAATTATGTTATGCTTTTGCGCCCTGTTACTTGGCAAACTTGGTCAAATCTATTGAAGTGGTGGGGTGTGCAATGAGTATCACCTCATAATGTTGTAGGTCTATTGAATTGGTGGAGAGGTTTTAAATGGAGGAAGCTGGAAGACAAAATCTGGAAGGCAATCCCATTGGCTACCTTCTGGTCTATATGGAGGATGAGGAATGAGTGCGTGTTTAATGGGAAACAACCTAGGATGGAGGAGTTGAGTGATTTGATAAAATCAAGAGTGGCAGTCTGGTGTAAACATGATACCGGAGATTGTTTTTACTCAGTGCATGAGTTAGTAACTAATTTGCAGGAGGTGAAAAGGTGCTTGGATTAGATGGAGATTGGGTCTTGGTTTGAGTAAAATAGATTTGGAGAACATGGTGGATTTCAATGTGTGCCTTTTGTTTTGAATTGCTGTCAACTGCTATGAAGCAGAGGAGCCCCCTTCAGATACAGAGATATGCTAATTTGGTATGTCTGCTGCTATATGTTGATTTGTGGCTGCTGCAGAGGTGCATCATTGGGGCTACTGCTGTATGCTAATTTGGTGTGCCTGCTGCTGTATGCTAACTTGGGGCTGCCTCCAAATGTAGTGTTGTGCTAATTTGGTGTGCCTGCTGCTGCATGCTAATTTGATGTTTGCTGATTAGGAGTGCAGGTTTGAGGCTGTGTGCTACTGATGTTTGATACTGTTTTGACCTTCTGTATGCTGCTATTTAGGAGTCTACCAGTGTATGCTGCTGGTTGACTGCTGGTCTATTGCATGGCATAGGAGGTTTGTTGGTGTATGAAGATGATTGGAGGTTGCAAATAGGTATGCTGCTGCCTGTTGCTGGTAGTCAGTGGTTGTCATTGCTAAAAATTGCTTTTGCAATTGTTGGAAGCTCAGTGGTTGGTTCTGGTGAAAGATTGTATGGCATAGGGGGGCTTGCTACTGTTGCTCTGGTCTTTTGGGTGTGGTTGTCTTTTATTGTGGTTGGTTACTCACAAATTTCTGATGGTATGCTAACAGATGATAGGGCGGACTTATCGGTACCAACCTAGTTGGGATTGGTTTGTTTCGTTTGAATACTCTTTGCACTCATCGCTTTCTTTATTGATGTAATACTCTTTTATTTCATCAATAAAGTTTATCTTTTGATGATAAAAAAAAAAGGGAGAAATAATTAATTTTTGTCTTTTTTGATGTTTGATCTTCCATCTTCCAATTAACAATCCAACTGGTAACTAAACTAGTCCAATTAATTTTGCTTTCCTAACTTTAATCATGTGATAGGGAAGAGATTTGATAGGGAGCACTCTTCATTTTCATTTTTTGAGGGCAAAAAAAATTTTAAATATCTTTTTGGTGTTTATTTTTGTCGAATCAATTTCTATTTCTTTAAAAAAATTTACAAAACTGATTCTGAAATTGAAACAATGTTGGAGAACGGCTGTTAATTTCAAAAATCCTTTTTGGTTCTTAAAAAATTTTAGGTGCCAAAGGTAATGCAAGTTGGTGAAGAGATTGTTAGCATGGTATTAAACGTTTGTTTGAGAAAATTCCCAAGAACCACTTGTGCCATATGAGGAGTAGTTGTAAGGAATAATGTCACGCATCAAGCCTTCGAACTACATGCATATGCTTATGTATAATGAAGTGGGTGTTTATTACATGCATGCATGTGATACTGTAATAGTAGAGTTTCAAAATATTACAATCCAAACTGCACAAAACCAACAGATGGAACTAACAAGTGCTGATTCTTTTTTGCAGAGATCTAGTTGGAAAACCAGACAACATGATCCTCCGGAAGGAAATGGCATATCGGAACAGTTCCCGGTTTAACCTTGAGCACTAGAAAGGCCAAGTGCTTCGGATTCCATGCCGATGTATCAGTATGACACACTGCCACTGCTTTTGCTTGTGTGCCGTCAGCACCGGCCATCGACACCATATATGCTTTCGTGGTGTCTGTTTTGTGGCAGTAAAATACAGCATACTCGTAGTTCTGCTTATGGCACACCACAGCTTTGCCGCCTGCTAACTTCTCCACCCCTGAAATACTATACTTCTGCAACGGAGTTTCTTTTTGTACCTCCGTGGAGACTGCGTGGGCGGTTTTCCCGAGCATTGAAGTGCTGAAATCAATCATCGATTCTAATGAAGTTGCACAATATTTCTCTTCTCCTTTGATCTCGGGCTCTTCACACTCCTTGATCGTTTTCTTCATTATCTCAGCTTCCATTGAGTTGGGTTTCACCGAAAAGTGATTTAGAATTTCTGGCAATTTGTCGGACGAAAAAGGTATCTTCTCCGAAACCTGGCGAGGTAAGAAAGTAGCCGCGTTCGTACCTTTAGTGAAGTGCAAGGTCATTTTCGTGCCGAGTTTCATGTCCTTTTCCAAGAAGAAAAGAGCTACGTTGGGGTTATCATGGAGCTGATCTGCAGTAGCAGCATAAATGTAATCGAATGGTGATATTCCAGGTACTTTAACATGCACCGATGTTCCTTTGTGGGGCTTTCCAGCGCTGACGTCTACGCCGACTGAGGTGCTTTTCTCTCCCATCAATTCTGCTAATTAACATGAAATATTAGAAGTGATTGTCTCCATGTGCATTATTTGCAAATTTGTACCTTCTATGATAGGCATTTGTCATTTAAAACTAATCGATAATATTGTCATCGATTCTAATGTACTTTCTTGATCTATTACAATGTTAATATTTAACAATATATAGAGAAACTTATAAAATCAGTTACATATTATGGTTGAACAGTAAGTTTTAGGAGCATAAACATGTAGAAATTATGTGAAGTCAGTTTTTTAGAAAATATTCATGTGACTTTGTGAGTTTTTTCAAATTATGTTGAAGTTATAGAAAGATTTTGAAAAGGTTCTTTAGAAGTTAATTGTAAAATTTCATGATCTACGTTATAAGAACGAGTTTCGCCCAAAAAAGAGTTTCTTAATATTTATTTGATCTTTTCAACAAGCAATTTTAACTTCATTTTGGGTTACTTAATGTTACTTAATGTATGCATGTATATTTACTACTAAAGGATATGTTTTACAAAATACATGCCATATTGTTGTGCAACCCATTAGTACTAAACACTTGTATATTGATTTGGCAGTAATATTAACTAGCATTTTTACAAAATTACTAAATTTCACATTTCCTCCCTATACTTTCTAGGGAACCAAACATTGTTTACAGTAATATTAAAAAAAGAAGAAGATGAAAGTAGTCTAGTAGACACAAATACCAACCAGGTTGTAGACTATTCTTGACAGCCATAGGCATGGGAGTGTTTGGCAACATGGAATTCCAGTAAGCTTCTTCAGGTGATAGAGCTGCATGGCTTGCCACCAGTGCCACCTGAAACACAAAGTGAACTTTCATTAGTTTTTCACACACACACACACACATCGAACATTCATAAATCCACGTTTTCCTTTTCTGTTTTGGTTTTTTCATGGAAAAGTGAACTTTCATTAGTTTGTTTTTTCTTCGTACTGAGAAAATATAGCTTGGCATACAAATACAACGAAAGAAATGTATTAACATACATAAATACTAGGTCTTGTTAGGTTGTGTTTTCATTCTCTCTTTCTGTATTTCATTTCTTGAAAACAAAAAAAAAAACTTCTTGGTGGCTGTTTGCAAAAATTATTTTCGAGAGAAGTTTCCAAAAATTATAGGAAACACAAAAATTAAAACGATATGAAAGTAAATGGTGTTTTCGAAATTTTCATTTTTTTTTTTGAAAACAGAAAAAATGAAAACTAAACACACATAAATACATGTGTATATATGAGGGAGGAGGAGGAGGAGGAGGAGGAGGAAGCAAATATAAAATTCCAAGAAAGTGTTTTCTATGTTTTGAGGATTTGGAAGCTTTAGAAACTCACAGAAAGAAATGTGAAGATGGGTAGGAGATGTAACTCCATTGAAGCTGTAAAACTGCCAACAGAAAGTGAAAGCAAAGCTCACTTATGTATTGGAGAGAAGGGGGTCGCAATATTTATAAGTGAACATTAGGGTAGTGTTTGGTAATTGGAATAACCCTGAAATTAAATAGAACAATCATTTCTTAACTACCTTGTAGAATGACCCTCCCTTACCATTCACTACCCAAAAAAAAAAAAAAATTAAAATTAAAATTAAAGTTTAGAGACAAAAATTTAGGGATAAAATTATTTTTTAGGGACCAAATATTTTTGTTGTGAAAAGTGTCGTTATTATATTTTTAGTAACGAAATTAGACATTAGTGATGAATTATTATCCTTTTGGACTAAATTTTTTATCTAAAAAAAATAAACTATTTTGAGACCAAACTATTTTGTCTAAAAGTGTATTTATTAGTGACATTTTCAAAATTTTGTTACTAAAAGTCTTTATTTTTTACTTTTAAGGATGACATTTTAGCGACTATCCTCATGACAATAGAAATTGGTTCCTAAATATTTTTTGCAACAAAATTTTCACTTTTAGAGATTAAAAATTTGATTTCTAAAACTCTCATACGATATAATGATTGTAAATGGTTTACATGTAAATTTCATCATTTTTAGGCTTGGAGAGGAATTTGTGAGAAGAAAAAGAATATAATGAAAAATGTGAGTGAAATATAAATTAAAATTTTGTTACTCTTCTCTTCTTTTCCTTTCTAACTTCTTACTTGACAAATCATTCTGAATTAAACTTGAGAATAAATATTCTTATGGAATGATCATTCTATTTTATATCTCTTTTAAGTAAACAAAACACCAAGGTCTCGTTTGGAAACGTATTATTTTAGTAATTTTTTTAGCTTTTTTGGTTAAAATATGAGGTAAAAAAAGTTTTATTTTAGTAATTTTTTTAGCTTTTTTGGTTAAAATATGAGGTAAAAAAAGTTAACCTGTGTTTGGCAAGTGGGTTTGCAGGCTTTTTTAGCTATTTTAGCCACAAAAAACAAAATAGGCTATTTTAGCCATAACAAACAAAACATCACATCCAACCCATAATCATTACATTCTTCTCTCACAAAAAAACTCAAAAAAGCTAAAAAGCCAAAAAGCCTTTCCCAAACCAAGCTTTTAAGCCTAGGCTAAAATAGCCAAAAAAGCCAAAAAGCCAAAAAGCCAACCCACTTCCCAAACGGAGGCTTAGTATGTTTGGAATAACTTTTTAGTTTTTTACGAAAAGATGTGCAAAAAGTAGAGAGAAAATAAAATATTTAACTTTTTGGTATATGTTATAGACTTTTTGATTTTTTTAGTAACTTTTTGACTTTTAGACTGAAACTTTCGTATGCCAAACGAGGCCTAAACCAACTAGGCCTAGCCTAGTTGACCACTATGTCTTTCTTAGGGCTTAGTTCTTAAGGAGGTAAGGGAAGTTGAATTAACAGAATTCAAGCATTTAGGTGTTTTGCTAAAGGTGAGGAGGTTTTCTCCCATAGGGGCCAATCTAGCAACTAATAACGAACATTTACCAATTAAAAAAAAATAAGACATAAAAAGTAAACAAAACACTACCTAATAGTGAGGTTGGGGTTCATAATTAGTTTTTTAACAACTTTTTTATCGACTATTTTTTGTTTTTAGTGAATTAATTTTTTTTTTTAAATTCACTTTTTATAGACCTAAAATGTGAAAAAAAAAATATAATTTTTTTTTGTTTTTTTTGTTAAGGAAAAAAAAAAAAAAACAAACAAAACAAAGATAACCTCAATTGGTGGGATACAAAAATATATGTGAGAGACCGTGATATATGTGGTTCATTTCAGGGACATACAAAAAGTAGTAATAGTTTTAGTTAGGTTATGGATGATGATGGTGGTGAAGGTACGAAAATGTATAAATATTAAAATGTAAAATCATAATTTATTTTTATGAATATGTAATTAAAATTTGAAAACTCCACTCATATGTAATCTCTTCTTTAAGAAATATATATATTTTTGGAAATTTATATGTAGGTCTTAATAGGTAGATTTATTATCTAATAAGTCCTATGATAATTAATAGTATTTTTCATCAAACACTATTAAAAAAAATTACTAATTGTTAATTTTCAGCAACAATTTTCACTACAACAAAAAGCACTTTTGGCGACTAAAACTGTATTTTTTGTCGCTGAAAGTAATAGAATTGGCGACTAAAATAGAATTAGTCGCCAAAATTGATCCCTTTTGCCGACTAAAACAGTTTAGTCGCCAAATATAAAGGAAAAAAGAGAGAAGGGATGAGGAGGAGAAAGAGCGATG